TGGGATTACTTTTCTTGTGGCACAGGTGGCCGGGGAGAGTAGGAACAGGCCCTTTAAAACAGGAGACCCCCGTGGAGGCCTCAGTTTCTCTTAGAAGCCCCCTCTTGATACCCTCTCCTGGCCTGTCTATTCACAGATGCTGTGAGCAGATCTGTAAACAGATTCTGTACACAGATGCCCCACACAGGCTTCTCCTGCTGCCTAACTGGCCTGGGCCAGTGCAGCAGGTGTGGAGGCTGGTAATAAGGGAAGAGGAAGAGTATGGATGAGGCAGGCTGGATTTTGATGGGTCCAGGGAGATGTGTTGCATAGATCTTTCTACTTCTGTGCATCTTTGAAGTTTTCATAGTCATTTTTTTGGCGGGGGGGAAGTGAAACCAAACCTCAAATCAAAAATAAAAAGAATGACTGAAAGAAGAAAGAAGGAAAGCAAGCAGGAAAGCAAGAAAGATAAAAAGCCAGGCATTGATGCTCAAACCTGAAATCTTAGCTGATTAGGAAGCTAAATTCTAGAGGTTCCAAGCTAGCTTAGGGAACACAAAAGTCTAAGAGACTCCATCCTAATAGAAGAAGCTGGGTGTGGTGGTGAGCACATGTCATTCTAGCTACAATGAAAGTATAAAATAGGTGAACTGCTTTCAGGCACAGACTTGGAAAGAAGAGAGACTGTATCCCCCAAAGGCTGGAGGTATGGCTCAATAGTAGAGTACCTGCCTAACAAGTGGAAAGGCTAGAGAGTTCACACCCCTCCTAGTACTGCCTACCTCCAAAGAAAAAGAAGGCCACAAGGAAGAAATGATGAAGAGAGGAAGAAAAAGCACCCCCAACAGTTAAACGGAGAAGTTGGAGTTTAAACCTTTGTCTGACTCCAGAATTCAAGGCTGTGACTACCACAAGGTAGGAAAATCAGAATTTTTCAGTTGGGTGTAAAAATTCCTTTACAGTGGTGGCCATTTTCTACTTTTCCAGTTCTCCCTGCCTGCTAAGTCCAGACCTGAAGCCTAATTGGTGTGAGCACTGCCCATGCTCTCAAAGCCTTGGCACATTGAGGCCCCTTCCTTGGGGGAGTCCTAGTCTCCATGCCTCCTTCTAGGGAAGCTCATTCAGGTATTGTCTCCTCCTCAGGCCTCCCCAACCCCCACTCACCCCAGCCATGAGCTCTGCCTCCCAGAATTCCTGGATCACTCTGTTCTATCTGCACATTCTTATGTCTTCCTTCCTTCCTTCCTTCCTTCCTTCCTTCCTTCCTTCCTTCCTTCCTTCCTTCCTTCCTTCCTTCCTTCCTCCCTCCCTCTCTCCCTTCCTTCTTTCATATATAGATATATATATAAATATATATATATATTATAAAGGTGATGTACAGAAGGACGATTACTGTTATGTAAATCAGGTAATTAATGAGTACATTTCTTTTTGAACAATGTCACCCTTCCTTAGCTCTCTCCTTATTCTTATTTCTTAATGTATGTGTGTCCTGTCTTCAAAACTAGGCAGGAAAACACTTTTATTTGTTTGGAATTTTTTTGGAAGGAGGGTTGTTGCTTCCCTGGCCCGACCCCATTCTCTTTTTAAGCAGGGAAAATAGTTTTCTTTAAAAAATATCTTTTCTTTATCTGTAACCATTTGCTATGTATTTAACATATATTTGTAGTTGACGACAGATTCTTTTTATTCGAGCTTGAACTCAAGGCCTTTAGCTTTTTCACTCAAGGCTAGTATGCTACTATTGGAGTCACAGCCCCACATTGGGCTTTTTTTTGCTGGTTTAGTGCAGAGATAAGAGTCTCATAAACTTTCCTGCCCAGGCTGGCTTTGAACCATGATCCTCACATATCAGCCCCCCTGAGTAGCTAGGATTACAGGTGTGAGCCACCAGCTCCCAGCTAGCAAAGGCTTTATGAGCTCTCTGAGCTGGCAAAGAGATTAAAGAAGAAATACTTTTTATCTTAAATAAAACTTTTTTCATAATTTTTTTCAATTTCACTTTATTCTGGAAAAATGAACAGATCTCATTTGCAGAGATGAAAATCTGAAAGCATTAAGGAATGGTAATTTGCTAATACTAAAAATAGACCCTATCTTATGCATTTCCATCCGTCTGCAAGGCAAGACACCTTGTCAGAACCTTCCCATGCTGTTGGTTACAGGTTTTGCTGCAAGATGAAAGCACTTTGTCTCCATCAGACTTCCCCCAGACAGAAGGTGGCATAAGGACTATGGTTTTGTTCTGTGGTGCAAGCCAACCCCTCAAATACCTGAGCACTAACACAATCACGGTCTTTGCCTGTGCAGTCTTAGGTATGCTAGAGGAGCAAAATGTAATTATACACATTATTCTTTACCATTGGGATAAAGACTAAAAGGCAAAAGCATGAAATATTATGAACATTTATAAAAGGGAATATTAAATTGGTTTAAACTGTCAGAAAAACCTAAGTGTTAAAAATAAAACCAGATTACATTAGAAAATTTAATTTTTTTTCTTGTACCATAAGAGAAAATATAGATCGTGATCCAGGAGACTTGAAATAAAATATGCTAAGAAGCTCAGATTCACGTCATTCCTGGAAGAGCTTCTAAAACGAGAGTGAAGATGTCATTGAACCTTTACAATGACTACTATTACAACCAGTGTCAGGGGATTGATTGAAAGTAATGATCTTGTGCATGGTGAATGCCCATAATCCTAACTACTCAGGAGACTGAAATCTGAGGATGGAAGTTGGAAGCCAGCCTGGGCAGGAAATCTGTGTGATTTTTATCTTCAATTAACCAGCAAAAAGCTGGAAGTAAAACTGTGGCTCAAGTGGTAGAGCACCAGGTTTGAGTGAAAAAGCTAAGGTCTCCAAGCCCTAATACTTGCATTTGTGCACCAGTGTGTGCATACATGCATGTGCGCACACGCATGCGCGCGCACACACACACACACACACACACAAGGAAGAAGAATAAGATGGAAGAAGAATAAGGAGAAGGAGGAGGTGAAGGAGGAGGAGGAAGAAGAGGAGGAGGAGGAGGAGGAGGAGGAGGGGTGATTTTATACGATTTTTGAAAGGCAGCAAGTCAAAATTCACACATTGTTTTTCACAGCACAACTACTATGAGTCAACACAGTTACAGTTTATCATTGGCTGATTTACAAGTAAGGGTAAATGATTCCACAGGCTGAGCTGAAAATGGATGAAATACTCTTTTCAATAATTCATGTTGGATTGTAGTAATATACCTACTTTGGTGTTTTCTTTTGGAATTTTTACTGTAGGAGCCATTAACATAGGTGATCAGTTCTGGATTCATTAATGAAAAGTTGGCAATTAGGTTACAATAGGAATAGTAAATCTAACTGAGGAATACCAATTGGGAAACGAGGCTCACACAATTTTGAATCTCCCTTTTGCCTTTAGTTATTTTGCAAATAACTTGTATTTGTAACTGGAACAACTTGAATGGTTATCCTCTTTGTTATTTTTCTTGTGTGGTGGAGGTACATTACTATATCCAACTTACGTTTGTTGAGTTCAGGGTCTCTTGAAGTTGTTGCCCACTCTGGCTTTAAACTTTGATCCTCTCTAGTAGCTAGGATTACAGGTATGAGCTGCTATACCCAGCTTCCAAATATGTACTAAAGAAAACATTGGCTGAATTAACTTTACAGAGATATCTTTTAATAGGCACACAGGTATATCTGTAAAACACATAAGAATTGTTTGGATAAAGGGTCAAAAGCATTTGTAATTTAGATAAATATTTCTGAATAGCCAGCAATGTGAGACAATTTATCTACTTATAACAATAATGAAACGTATAGTCACTCTTCAATAACTGATATCTCAAGGCTATTTGTTTCGCTTTTTCTCTCCCTCCCACAAATCGAGTCTTTTACACATTTTAAATTTGAGGTGGCTGTTCAATTTCTTCTTCCTTTTCTGTCAAAATGGTCCTTTTCTGTATTATGATATATATGTATACGTATGATATATATGTATACATATATACATGAACCTGAGTGTACTTAAGCCTTGTCCACATGGAGGCACTGGATTGGAACATTCTGGGAATGTTGTCGAAAGAGCAGTGGGAACCTGTGAACAGTGGTGTGTTGGAAAGGTATCCTGACAGCTGGCCCATCCATAGGAATATCCCCAGACAACCCAAGTACATTGAATTCATTACAGGAGGATCAAAAAAGAGATGTGCTCACCCATCTACCAAGGTAGAAAAAAAGGAGGACAACTTTCCTACAGACAAGTAACATTCACTTGAAACTGTTATCCTGAAACAGCTAAACTATGGTAACCTGGTTTGCACTGTACTTCTTTTGGACTGCAATAACATGACACTCCATAGAAAATTCATCAATGAAACATTGCAAAAACCAGTGAAAATTCTGTTAAATAAAAAAATTCTGTTAAATACAGAAAAATATCAAATTTGGGAAGATATACATATACATATACATATACATATATATATATATATATATATATATATACATATATATATGTACACACACACACACACATTTTTACCACCACCACCCCACCAAAGGAAAACAAGCAAAAGTGAGAAGATCCAACATGGTGCTTCCACCATGTTTCTCCTGAGGCCTATTTCTGACCTCAGGGATTGTGCAATGATATGTCAAGAGAACGAATAAACATGAGATTGCATCAGATAAGAGTAAGCCACTGAAGAATCTCTTTTCTATGGTGTACATTCTAGTGAAGCATTATCAGATTTAACTTTGGAAAGAGATTGTTAAAACTTAAAACAATGACTTTTTTTTTTTGTTGTATTTTATGAATGTGGAGACTTCATGAGAATCTTTCTACTTACAACTGGAATTTTGGTAATTTTATTTTGCTTTTTTTTTGGGGGGGGGGCCTAAACTTGGGACCTGGGCTCTGTCCTTTCACTTAGCATTTTCTTTCTTTTTTTCTTTTTATTGTGAAAATACAATACAGAGGGGTTACAATTACATGGGCAAGATAACGAGTGCATTTCTTTTTTGTTATTGTTTTTGTTTTTGTTTTGGAGGAAGGACAGTTTTATTATTTTCATGTACAGAGAAATAAACATTGCACACTTAGCCCAGCTTCGTGGCCAGCTCCTTAGCCTTTGCCTTTTCCAGCTTGGCAATTCGAGCCACAGATTTTGGACCCAGGACATTGCCTTCCCAGTGGCGGCGGATCTCATCACATATGTCATTGTAGTTGGTCCTGATAGCCTCCACCAGCTTTGCCAGAGATCCCTTGTCTTCCGAGTTAACCTGAGTGATGGCAATGATGGTGCATGTTTTCCTTGTTTTCCTGTGGATGAGGCGCCCCAGCCTGGCCTTCCCCTTAATGATGCAGTAGGGAACACCCATCTTGTGGTACAGGGCAGGCAGGAATACAACCAGCTGGAAGAAAGCATCGCTCCTGGAGTGTCTGCCCTCACCCACAGCAGCATCTCATGGGTCAGCTTGCTGGCAATTGCTCAGGGTTAAAAAGCTCATGGATTTTGGCACATCAAGATTTAGTTCAGTCAGAGGTTCACATCATGGCAAGAGTATATATATATATATATATATATATATATATATATATATATATGTGGTTTTTTTTTGGGGGGGGGTCTGGTCGTGGGGCTAGTACGCTACCACTTGAGCCATAGCACCACTTCCAGCTTTTTTTTTTTTTCTACTTATGTGGTGCTGAGGAATCGAACCCTGGGCCTCATGCATGCAAGGCAAGCGCTCTACCACTGAGCCACCTTCCCAACCCCCAAGAGTATATTTCTTATCAAGCATTGTTGCCTCCTCTTTTGTTTCCCCTTCCCAACCCTTCCCCTTCCCCCCCCCCCCCCAACTTAGCATTTTCACTCAAGGCTGCCTCTACTATTTGAGTCAACGCTTCACTTCAAGCTTCTTGCTGGTTAATTGTAAATAAGAATCTCACAGACTTTCCTATTTGGGCTGGCTTCAAACTGTCATCCTTAGATCTTAGCCTCCTCAGTAAGATTAGAAATGTGAGCCCTCAGTGCCTTGCTTGGTGATTGTTTTGATAATTTTTTGAGACTGGTTAAATTGATAAAATCTCAGATTGAATACTTTAGGGACTGGCTTTGAACAGTGACTCTCAGATCTCAGCTGCATGGGTAGCTAGGATTACAGGTGTGAGCCACTGGCACCTGACCCTAAACCTTTTCTCTGAAATAAAACTTGAAGCTTAAATTGAGCACATAATTTATTAACTTATTTCTTCATACTATTTGTTTTTATGGTACTGGGATCAGAATAGGGCCTTGCACTTGGTAGGCATGTGCTCTACCATTTGAGTTACACATCCTGCCAACTCATCTATTAAGATGTTAAAATCCACAACAATGGCAAGGCTCTGGAACAACAAGAACTTTCCTTCACTCATTATTCATGAGACTGAAATATGATACCACCACTGGAGGCAACAGATGGTTTCTAACCACACCAAACAATCTGAAATGATCCTTCTTGCTCTCTACTTACCCAAGTGATTTAAAAACTAGGTCCACACAGAAACAAGTGTGTGAATGTTCCCCTATATGAATTAGATTCCAAACTGCCAAAAAATAGAATTGGAAGCAACCAAGATGTAAATAGATAAACTCTGGTACAGCCAGATAGTGGAATGTGATTCAGTGCTAAAATGAAATGAGCTATGAAGCCAGGGAGAAGCATAGAAAAACTTTAAAACCATATTGCTAAGTGAAAAAAGCCAAGGAGAGAAGGCTGAAAGCTATGAATGCAGCTGTGCGACGTTCTACAAAAGGCAAACTGTAGAAGAGTAAATAGATCAATGTTCGTCAGGAGTTGAAAGTAGCGGGAAGCACAGAGAGAGGAATCAAAGGAGCAGGTAAGTTTTAAAGGCAGTAAAAGTCTTCTACATGATCTAGTAAGGTAGGCAGACATAGACATTTGCCAACATCCACAGATGCACAAAACTAGACTGACCTCTAATGTAAATGGGCTTTGTAATCTATGGATATTTGGTATTGATGTAGCACAAGATGTTAAGAGGAGGAAACATTGTGTGTGAAATTGCATTCATTTTTGTATAAACTTAAACTGATTTAAGAAGTATTTTAATAAAATTTCCCCTTGCTCTGCCTTTAGAATTGGAGCTAGCATGTCCTGCTTTAGTGGGAAAATGATTCTCTATCACTTTCTCTTACTTAGAGAAGCTGTCAGGGGTGAGCAATACACACATGGCAAGAATAATATTTCACAGCCTCTGGTAATCCCTGAGACACCATGTGGAAAACTTTCTGCTTAGCAGATCACATACACTTGTTTCTGGAAATGCCAAAGAGGGCTCAGGACCAGGCAGGGAAGATAGAGAGAGGTCTCACTGCAAATAAGGTAAGGAAACCTAATGTAGATGGGGAGAGAGAAAGAGGGTTCTCATCTATAGAAAGAAAAGTGTATCTTTCCACTAGAGTAAACACTAGGTGTTTTTAAGTGTAGGATAGGATGCTTAGGGTTGGGTATTTGCTTGCTTTTGGTATTGGGAGAGGCAGAAAAACAGAGAGAAACAGAAACAGAAATAAACACACAGAGAAAAGCAAAGAACCACACACAGGAACACAGACATACAGAGAGAGATACACAAAGAAAAACAGAGAAATGGAAACACACAGAGAAACAGAGAAAAGACACATACAAAGAGACACACACAGAAAGAAACAAACAGAAACAGAGAAACAGAGATGAACACAGAACCATAGAAACACAGAAACATACATAGAGAAAACAGAAACACAGAGAAAGAGAGCAAGACAGAGAAACTCTTAGAGAGAGGCAGAGAGACAGACATGCTCCCCAGGGCGTACCCCACTTCCTGGAACCAGGTTCTACTTCCCAAGTTTCCACCACCTCCTAATCACCTCTCAAATTACAAATCCATCAGTGAATCCACTGAGAAGGAAGCAGCCCTATGATCCAATCGCTTCTCCACAAGCTAAGGTGTGAATGTTGGGAGTTCCAGCCTTTGGGGGACACTTTATAGTTAAACTCTCACAGACAGTAGCATGGATGTTATGACTTACGTACCCCAAGAAAACCTTAATTCTTAGGTTTGTAGAAGAAGATTTGATTACAAAATAGTGAGAGACTTATTTCCCCATTCGGGCCTCTTCCCTTTCCTCTACCATCTGAGCCACAGCTTCACTTCTGACTTTTTGCTAGTTAATCGGAGACCAGGAGTCTCACAGACTTTTCCTCCCCAGCCAGCTCAGAACTGTGATCCTCAGACCTCAGCCTCCTGAGTATATGGATTACATGTATGAGCCACTGGTGCCTGGCTTTCCTCTTTGCATTTTATACACAAACTTTTCATTTGGTACAATCGAAGTGCTTTTATATGGTGTGAGATTCTGGGTAACTTATTTATGCTTCTGAGTCACTTTTCTCCCTGTAAATTGGGACTAATAAAAACTTGTACCTCTTTCGCTCATCTGTTAATTGACTTTGCCAAACCTGCCTTTTCAGGAAGGCTGTAAATACAAATGACCAGAGGGAAGTTTACCCATTCATCTAGTAAAATAGCAACGTTCATTTACTTAACACACAGGGCGCTTCTCACGTGGATGTGCGTGATAGGTCATGAGACGTAGCGACATTGTAACACCACACACTTGGTGTCCTTAAGGAACTTCTGGTGTAGTAGATACTAGATGATGGTAGGTGTGCAAATGGGGCAGTGTGTAAGAAAAGCAAGGTGGCTGGAGTGAGCTTAGTTGTGGGCCAAACGGCAGCTCTATTGACTGAGTGCCTCTCATCTGAGAGCTTTCAAAGTGCCTGGTCTGTGACAATCCCATAATAACCCCCTCCCCCCAAGAACACAGGCTTAGCCTTATTTTTCGAGTTAGGGAGGTGAAGCTCAGAGGAGTGTATCTGAGGTGAAGTAATTAATCAATGGTGGAGTTGGAACCTTAGTTTTATCTAACCTCTCTTGTTGTGTTTCCTCATCCCACACTGATTTGAGATATCAGGGAGAAATCATAATTCTAGACAATGTGCCTATTCTTTTTCTTAGTGGAGGTGATGGAGATGGAAGAATGTTCTTTCTCTCGCAGGTAAGGAGAGAACAAGAAGAAAGTTGTAAAACAGGACAATCTAGTCTCACTTCTCTATGTGTAACTTTACCAAGGTATAATGCAAAAGCATCAAACAACTGGATATCTAGTGTTTTGTGTACAATTTAGGGACAATCCCAGGTTCATGTGAAAATGCCACTGATTCATTAAAACAGATTGAGGTGACATATTTGGTACAGTCATGTGAGAGTTAAATCACAACTTGGGCTCTGCTACTACTGTCTGTCTGTGCTTCCAAGGCCTTAGGCACAGTAGTTCTTCTCAAATGTCCTCTTTACACCCTCTAGGCTTCAATGGAAAAGTTGTTTTGTTTAGTTTTAAGGAATTTCCTTGACTCTTCTCCTTTTTCTTGTTGCTCTGTCCAGAATCCAGGGACACAGAGTCACTGGGCAGTTTGGAGCATTTCCAGGAATGCTGACCTTCTCTGAAGAAGGAAAAAAAAAATGCATGCTTGTTTTTCAAAAATAACCTCCTGGGGGAGGCCATCCTCGACCTCATTTTTGCACAGTTAGGGAAATTTTATCCTCAGATAAGGGATTTGAGAATAGTTGGCTCCGATTGCCTAAAAGACTGCAAGGACTAGTGTCCAGAACCCAGTCACCTCCATCAGCCAGGGGCCAAGGCTACCTTGTTTATACCAGCCATTGTTCTTCCTGTGTTCCTGGCCTATTGATCGAATCTTATGCTTCTTTCTAAGGTGGAAAGAACTACAGGCCCTGGAAACACCTTTGGGACAATCTATTGGGAATCAATATGTGGTATAGTTTTTTTTCTCTCTCTCTCTTTCTTTCTTTCTTTCTTTCTTCCTTCCTTCCTTCCTTCCTTCCCTTTCTTTCTTTCTTTCTTTCTTTCTTTCTTTCTTTCTTTCTTTCTTTCTTTCTTTCTTTCTTTCTTTCTTTCTTTCTTTCTTTCTTTCTTTCTTTCTTTCGGTTGTGGGGCCTGAACTCTGTCCCTCAGCTCTCCAGTTCAAGGCTAGTGCTCTACCACTTTGAGCCACAGTGCCACCTCTGGCTTTTTCTGTTTATATGGTGCTGAGGAATTGAATCCAGGGCCTCATGCATGGAAGGCAAGCACTCTACCACTGAGCCACCTTCCAAGCCCTAGTTTTTCTTTTAGTCCCTAATTTATTAGTTGCTCATTCATTCCTGTAAGTAAATATTTCTATTGCTAAGCTACATTTGTTATGTAACATCAATGAATCATGGAGAAGTTGCTGGCTTTCTATGTTTTGTGCCTCTAAAGACAGGAAAGCAGGGTTTCTAATGAGTTAATTACTTTGATGATGGTAATTCTACTTCCCACTAGGTGGATGGAACTCATTTATCATGGGTACATGGGTTAACCAGTTTTCCATCTTTCTTTCTTTCTTTCTTTCCTTCCTCCCTCCTTCCCTCTCTCTCTTCCTTCCCTCCCTCCCTCCTTTCTTTTCTTTGG